GATAAAATAAATACACACTTTTGACTAATGCTTCAATATGCTACCTAATGGATATATAGCTGAAAGTTTTGAGCCACCGATGACGAATAGATTTAACGTTGCCTTATCATGATTTCACCACCATAAACACATGAACAACATTGATGCTTCATTAGGTTAGATTTCGTTATCAAAAAAATTATTGTTCAATAATGAAGGAAACATTTCGCTACGACCCGCTGCTTGAGGTGAACGCATAACAGTGATCAACTGAGGAACTTAAACGGGAATAAAGTGACTGGAAAGGGAAGTTGCCTTGATAAGTCGACGATAAACTGAAGACATCTGATGAGAGAGGAAAAAAAGTCAATTTGATTCCTCTTTTGCATCGCAGTTTTCTTTCATAACGAACAATTTGCAACATAAAAGCGTTCATAGCGACTGACAGTGAATACTTAGCACAGTCGGAAATTCCATGCTTACACCTACCTCTCAGAACGGTGACGTTTTCAAGTTTGCTTGAGAAACGTTCGATATTTGATTCAGTGAAAACATAAGCGCATATGTGTGTTCAAATCAATGAGTGTGTTCAATATTTTAAGTTATTTTATGATGAGAATCGAACGCTACGTATGATATGATGGAGTGATCGTATTCATCAAATATTGATGGATTGAAGAGCATCCATTTCAAACATTAAAAAAGATGGAATATCTACTCGTGATATCCTAACGCCAACTATAGCAAAAGAACAATTTCAAATATGACAACATACAACAAAACGAGAATCAGTATCAAACTTCACAGTTTCTAACATGACAACAATGAACAAATTTCGAAATATTAACACATTCTGCACAAGGAATCGCCTTAAATACTGAAGCACTGACATGATAGCTGAATTTTATCTCATCCTTGATGATTTCATCTCTTCAGTGATGAATTTCAGTTTAACGGGTTATTCAAAGCACTTGATTGCACAGGTTCGAGAAAGATTAACTTTCTCGATAAACACTATTGAAATTTGTTGGTGACGCTAGCATTATCCGTGATCGTAATATGCATTAATTATCTACAGTGCTATGTATTGTTACTATTACTCTTAGAGAAAAAAATAATAAAAGTAAGAATAATAACAGTAATAATAATCGAAGTTATTACATAAAACGTGAAAAAACCTCATAAGAAACATAAACATTTAAAAAATGATCGAGAATAATAACAGACAAAAGAGTACAGCCACACAATCGAACAGACGAACAAATGAAACAAAACACCAAAATATCAAAAAGCACCATTATTAAGCATCATATTATGAATATGTTTCATATGAACCTCAATATTATCCTGAAAAGAAGCGATATTCGAACTGCATATTTGTTTGCGCAGATCAAGTATCGAGTCTGATAACGTACTCAAATCAAGAGCTGTTGAGCGCTGCTGACCCAACGAACGAACCTACAAGCATTATTATCACTACACGACGACCAAAAATGTGATGATAAGGATCTTCTCTGTCATCTTGATTACTGTGATCATATGACAAATAATACATCTCAGTGAAATTCAAACTTGAAAGTTAAATCGGTGCAGATAATTAGCACATACTTGAAGGAGGAGAGCGGTGAGCGAAGTGATCAAATTAAGAATTCGCTTATTATGAACATTTAAACCATTGTTACAATGCTTCACTATTTGTACTGCGTGCGTCTGACACAGTTTACGTAGTGCATCTGGTCGGATTACGAGTGGAACCTTAATTATGTATGTTACATTGCAATGTTTGTTTTTTGATTTATAAGGGAATATACTGATGGCAGAAAATTTTACGAAATCAATACACATGAAATGTTTACATTTTTGATTTATTAAGAGAGGATGAAAAAATGATAATACTGATGTGTTTAAATAACCTCAGTGAGTTGTGGTAACAACTGTGTATTATACTCGTTCACGGCATTCAGATAGGATTGCATTTGCTTGTTTAACGTCTCTATATCAACCACTAACTGCGCATATCTCTCCTGCATTATTTATTACAATTATTTTTGATACCAGCAAGGATACTCAAATTGTAATGATGTATTCAAATAAATCTTAAACTAAACAAGAAGAACGAAAAAGATGATTACATTTGACTACGAATAAATCTTTTGAATGATTCGCTTCTTAACCGACCAATTCAGCACTTAAAAGCTTATAAATGTTGCTTATAATGCTCATTTATCTAAGCTTTGTGGCAGATAAATAAATGATTAAAAAGAGCAAAAAGAATTGAAATAATAACAACAGATGAAACAAACCTGAAATGCGTAAGGATATGAATTTGTGAGAAGATTCATTTTCTCAGCTTCTCTATTCAAATCAGCCAACTGCCTGATTAACGTACGTTTTGTTTCGATTAATTTCGCTAATTTCACCAATATCACCAACATACGAACTGGGAAATTACCAACTTTCTCATCGCGTACTTAAATTTACAAATGATGACGTATCGTTTAATGCGATAAAAGAAATCATTTTGTAACTCTTCAATAAACTTATAAAATAGTATCGAATCAACAACAATAATAATGCTGAAACTAACTACTAATCGGTAATCTTCGAGCAGCACCGAAGCGTTGTGTGCCAGTCATGAATGGATCGGTTTTGACGTACGACGAATCGACATTTACATTCGACGGAGATGACGAAAGGTAATTCTGGATGCTTGCATTACCCATTTTCATTAATTGCGTTGGCATTGCGGCACGATTTTGTTCCAAAAAATACGTCAACGTCAACAATTCGTCCTTAAAACGACAACATTGAATCATTAGTTTCAGCAGCGGTCACTTGAACAACTTATTCGAGCTCTCTGATATCATCGAACAGCACTTCTATCGTCACCCCTCAATCTCTTCTTCTCGCCATACTCTTCAGCTCAGGAAACAATCAGTCTTTCTGAATGCTAAAATCCACTCTTCGTTCAGCGATCTCAGAGATGACATAATACTTCGTTTTTGTATACTTTCAACATCAAATTAAGTTGACTGCTATATCAACCATATGAACATGCAAATGAATAACCTTTTGCTCAGACATAACTTCGGAATGTTTAATAATCATCGGCGGTATCATTTCCTCTTTATCGAACACCACTCGGTAAGAATCCGGCAAGACTGCATCTATCGTACCCGCATAGATTCCGTCTTTCGGCTGCCTTACTCTCGCATAGATCTTCGCACCGACAATCAACGGTCTCGGTAACTTCAGTGGCAAATCCATTGAATGAGGTAATAATGACACTACACTGCCTTCATAGATTTCACGTATTTTTTGCCTGTTTGATTTATTACTGTTATAATCACGATATTGTTAACACTGTCATTATTATATTCTTAAATCAAATATTCTCAATTATTTTTATCACTTCCAGTTCACCTTCTCTTGACTCCTCCCGATAACACTACAAAAGTGTTCGAATATAATTAGTATCATTTTCTAAAATTTATTATCATAATCGGTACGAAAATTTTCGATTTGGAAAAGTAATAGGTCCAACAGAATGAATTATTTATTTGTTGAGATGATTAAAAAAGACCTTTTTGCTTCGAGCGCAGCTCTTTCCTCGTTCAGAAACGACTGCGAACAACGTCGCGGTTTACCGATCAGACGTCGGATGGTTCTCCACTCAGGTTTACGTAACATGAAACACTTCAGGTTCGGAAATGACTCGTTCAACAATTCCATAAACTCATTATCACCTAAGAACAACTGCCTGTCAACGCCTGAGTAAAAAAATTCACAGTATACCCAACGACGTGCCTGAAAATGATTATTTTCATCATAATATCGTTACGATCTCTGAATATAGAATTTTTAGGAATATGCGTTATAAGATTACATATCATCTGTGTTATTACTATTTTATCAATATATGAATCTATAAATATTTCAACGACCAAATCCATGAGGTAATACAATAATTTTTAAAAACTTTCTGAATGAACTACAGTAATAATAAATTGAAACCTTTGGTAATTTCAAAACATTTTTAAGTCGACACAAATTTTCTTTCAATGAATCTGTTAGGTCAGCTTGAGGAGGACGATTACGTGTGATACGTCTTTGTGACGATATGGCTGCTGTTGTTAGTGATGGCGAAGCACTTGCAAGTCTCTCTTGCGCTGAACTTGCAGCCGACAGGGAATTCTGTAAATGTTATTTATGTTTATTTGGAGAGATCGTTCAGTTCACCGTCAATGAGCAATGCTCTTTTACCGAACTTATTTTATTCGTTATCCGTTGATTCTTTGAATTATTGCGATTAAATACAATTACAAAAATGAACGAACTGGGACATTTCTCAAAGAAACAAACGAATGAGATTAAAAATAAATGAACGAATGAGTAGAAATTATGAACGTACATTGGTTCGCCGTGATTGTGGTTGTGTTGCGGATGGCGAATGATGGATTTTTATGAAGGAAATTCGTTTCGAATTATTCGCTGAGGTTGAACTGCGTTGTCTGGCATCGTTATCGGCACTGTTATCGTCGTCGTTATCGGCATCCATTTGCAGAACTTGATGGGATGTTGAGGATTTCTTCGCATTCGAATTTGTTGTTGCTGTTGCTTGCTGTGCACTGCTTGATGCAGGTCGTTTCGTGGGAGAGTTCACTGGACGAGTTCTGTAGAGAACATTTACTTATCAACCACACAATTTCACTCTCCACTTATAGTATCACCATTCGTTTTTCAGTGGCTTTCTTCCTCTTGTTCATCAACTTATATTTTATTGGTATTCTGATTCGTGATTTTGTAACACTATTAACATTTGTGAATACTGAATCAGTAGACTCACAACTCAGTTTCACTCTTTTAACACTCATTAATCCTCATCCAATCTTACTTGAAATTATTATCATTACATTCCTTAATCTTGAAAATCGTACGTATTGCTCTTTGCTTAATTCGCTTTTTGTTAATACGCAGATGAATTGGAGTGCTTTCGAAATAACGATTACTTATAGTAGTAATAAAATAAATCTATTATGGTAGAAGAAAGATTATCAGCAGTCAGTNGAGTGCTGTAAATCAAATCAAGTTGAATGAAACAAAATAAAAATGTGAAAGAAATGAAAATGAAACCGTTTATGAATTTTACTCGGTGACGGCTTCTGTTCAAGATGTTGAGTGGTGTTAATGTAATCCTTATATCTGGATGGCATTCTTGAATGATCTCGAAGTCTGTACGGAGACGAGAATGTGGTTGCTGATGATGACGACGTTTCGCTCGAAGCATTTTTATTCGACTGAGATGTCCCTCCTTGCTTTTTATCACTCATAGTTACTGTTATTATTACTATTAGTCGTTATTATCAATGTTGATGCTTTCTTAATATATACCAATTTGAGAATGTTCACTTCTGAAATTGTTCAACTTTGAAGGATTGAAAATTGCAATGATTTCTGTTAGTTGTGAGAATTGAGTGATTCACACACATCACACATATTTACCGCACTATTCGCACATTGTCTGAATTTTTAAAGTAAAGTGATGACTGCGTTAGTTTGATGCAGTGCTTTTAATTTTTTTCACATTGTTGAGGAACAATGAAATTTTAACCATCATTTGATATAAACTTCTGAAATGATCAGATGGAATTTTACTAATATTTAATGGAGAGAATATTTGCACTTGTTCGAAAATTAAAGATCATCATTCGATGAACGCATCTGTCAAACAACTACAACTGCACCAGATTGGTAGATCATTTTATAACTGCTCATTCAACTCATTTGGCTGTAATATTGCAGCATTGGTGATCTTTTCAAATGGAACAAGCATTCTTAATATACCTTCTTGAAGATTTTCTTTTTTAATTGCTGAAAGAAAGACTGATGATCATCATCTTATCTGACAAATACCACTAATTTATTAGCACATTCATCCGTCATAAGTTTAATAATTATTCATAAATTAATGCTAGTTGATTTCATGGCTGATTAGAAGTTTGCAGGCAAGTTACTCTGAGCTCTCATGGCTAGACTCTTGAAGTAACTTAATGTTATCGAGATGTGCAACTGCTGGTTTATTTAAGGAAAAAGGTGGTAGTCTAGCAGATCATGATCATCAGTCTAAATGAACGGATGATTTACAATTAGAGTTGCATTTATCGCTGGAGCATGTTACGTGCAACATATTACGTTACGAGCATTGGTTATGTGCAAAAGCATGGCCTCCCAACCGTTTCTGTGCAAAATTCGTTGAATTAATTATGGCGATTCAAACAGACTTATTGCTAGCGGCCCTACGCTTAATATTCGTTTTTACGCAATTTCTATCGGTTTCGAACACCAAATTCACCCGATTCTGCTTGTTTTACTCTGCAGCAGTGCCGCTGTTCATTCTACTGATGTGGAAGATGCAATCATTCTTGACTTCTTATTGGCATGCGGACAGCGAGTATGACTCACAGGTCAGGAATGTCCTACAGAAAATGGAATGCTGAAGAGTTTTTGATGAGTTTAGTGACTGCATGCCGTTCCTATCTAAACGCACAACAATGATGTCAGTCAAAAAGTCCAAAAAGTAAGTAAAAATTCAAATATTCAAACATTTAAATATTTAAAAATAGGCCTGCATCCCAGAATCGGACGCGCCAAGTTCAAATGACCGAACAGGTGGATGGCGCTTGCGCGATCGCAAGCAATAATCAATAAAACTCTCGAAGGGAAAATGGAACAGTGAACAGACTAAACCACTTTGCACCATTTAGCAGCATTCCAAAAATAACCGACCATAACTAAACAGCATGTCGAGATCCTATATGAACCACCCGAATACATTCGCTTGAGTCAGACTCAAGCAAGTGGTTTAGATTGGTTTAGCAAATGGTTGGTTCAGATTTACACTGAGATTCACACTTGGACTTTGGCTGCCATTCTTCGAAGACTCCTCTCGCAGTTGACTAGGTGATGATATTTTAGTTGTGCAATGGCTGAAGTAATTGTTGTTCAAGGAAGGGAAGGAACTGTGATTGAGCCTAGTTCTACTGCAACAGTGAATAATAAAGTGCAGTTCAAAAACAAATAAAAAACGTTCGCCTGGCAGTAAATGTTGATCGTTTCACAGTTATTCGAATAATACATGTTCATTCAAATCATTGGAGCTTTTTAGGGGATTTAGTTTCAAAGCATGCTTCAGGCTGGAACTGAGCATGAACTCAAGCCTCACTCAGTCCCCTTGAGCCTAGTTCCACACCGCTCAAACGTCCAAACCAGCTAATTCTCCCGCAGTTTCCCTCGGTGCTTCTAATAAAACTCCACTTTCTTCTTNATGATTTCGCCATCAGCAAGGCGCCAAATTCGAACCAGTTAATGCCGAAATTTAAGAGCGGAATAATTGCTATTTGTTGCAACTTGCATTAGAAGGTTTTATTTATGAGTGTTTTGATGGTTGTTTTTGAGAGAAGGGAAAAGTTTTACGTGAATAAGCGAATATGGAGGAAAATGTGAATGATATCGCGAAAGTGGAAATTGTGAGTTTTTTTCAGGTCGCTTGCCGAAGTTTTGAGAATGAATTCCAAAAATAAATCCCAAACATTTCAGTTCTTGGAAAAGGCTTCAAAATATTTTGCATTCGATTTCCAATGATAGCTCGAAATTTTCATCTGTGTTGTTGTTTTATCATTCTGATTTTTGCATGCCACAACATGGCTAATTTCGTTGACTTTTTATTCATTGAATGCAGCTGGATCCTGAATCACTTCGAAACGATCCCACAAATCTCACAGTTATACTCCATGAAGAAGACCATACTATTGGTAATGCGTTGAAGCACATACTTTGTAAAATGTAAGTTTTTTGTGTGTTACATCGGTGTTACTGTTGCTCCAATATTTGCAATATTGACTATCAAAAGCGATACGATGAATTTCATTGCTGTGCATTGAATATTGTTGAAATTTTTAAATCGTTTCTTAACGTTTCATTATTTTAAGGGCTGAAGTTGAATTTTGTGGATATAATGTGCCGCATCCTCTTGAAGATAGAATTTTAATCCGGATTCAAACTCGAAAGAATATATCCGCTAAAGACGTTCTCATTGAAGCGTTCGATCAGCTGGAACTTGTTTTTGCATCAATACGACAAAAATTCGAAAATTCATTAAATGATTTTCATTCTCGATAAACGTCATATGGTTGTTGTTTCATTCAGAACACTCTTCATGTTTCTGTATGTAAATGATGGAACTGTGTCTTTAATTGGAAAGTTATAGTTGAAGTGTGAATGTGATTGTTATTTTTTGTTATTGTTGTTATTTTTCAATATTCTTATGTTATGATTTCAGATTTCATGCAGTATAATAAATGAATGCCATCCAGATATTTTATCTGAAATGATGTTTCACTGTTTCTGACGATTCGTTGACAACGATGTGATGTTTTAATGACATGTGCATATTTATACTCATTTATGTGTTCACAATAATAATAGTAATAGTAGGAATCGATATTATTACACGCTTATTTGTAAGCTTTTAATTAATTTGCAATGAATGACTGCAGCCATGCCAAGTGACATAATAGCTCTTCAATTTGGTCAGTGTGGGAATCAAATAGGTGATGCGTTTTGGCGAGCGTTATGTGCAGAGCATGGAATATTACCTGATGGTACACTCAAAGATGAGAGTATGAATGGACAGGATCTGAAGCGAGTATTCTTCTATCAGGTATCATCCACCCATACATCATTAAGTTGTTTCATTGAAACCAAATCCAAATTATTATTTTCCTAACCTGATACATTCTAGTAAGTGACATGAGGAGACACTGTACAATTCAGATATAAAGATGATAGTCAGCAATCATAACTGCATAACTGCAGGCAGATGATTCACACTACGTGCCACGAGCGGTGTTGGTTGATTTGGAACCACGAGTCATAAATAGTATTGTGAATTCAGAATATCGTTCTTTATATAACAGTGAAAATATCTTCAAAGCACCGCAGGGTGGAGGAGCGGGTAATAACTGGGCATGTGGATATGGTCAGGGAAGGTAATTTTTGTCTATCGTCTATTGTTATTATCATTTGTTGATATTGTATACTGAAGAAAAGAATGAATAATTGTAGAGAAACACATGAAATGCTATTCGAAATGTTGGAACGTGAGGCTGAGAACAGTGACTGTTTGGAAGGGTTTATGCTGTGTCATTCAATCGCCGGAGGGACTGGCTCTGGAATGGGTTCGTATGCACTCGAGAAAATTAGTGATAGGTAACTATTATGTTATTATTCATTGCTGATGGTGGTTATTGTTTTTTTAAAAATTACTTATGAATATTTTTTGAGTCATAGTTACAGATAGATTTTATTTTACCAATGAATAATCAGAACTGTTATCATATCAAAGCACCGTTCTGATAAAATCAAATCATAACGGTGTTGACATTGATAACGGTGTTGTTAGTACATATACAAGTGCATCGAGGCGATAAAATGCAAGTCAAAATACAGATTTCCGAAGAAACTGGTGCAGACATATTCGGTATTCCCGGTGAATAAGCAAAACGAAGCGAGTGATGTGGTGGTGCAGCCGTACAATTCAATACTGACCCTGTCACGCCTCATCGAATATCCGAATTGTGTGGTTGTTCTCGATAATACAGCTTTGAATCGTATCGCAAATGAACACGCTCCTCACTCGTCTGCTTCCACCTCTTCGTTTGCACTTATTAATTCCATGGTTATTCATTTCCTTCTTATAATTATCAGCGTTTTTGTGTGTTTTCAACATTGGATCATGGTCATGCCCATTCGACAAAATCGCCGGTACTAACAGTAGTTTTAAGGTATCCCGTATAATGTGCTCATCAACAGCCACAATACGATTTCCGGGTGCGATGAATACACGTCTTATCAACTTAATCGCGCCATTAGTGGCTTATCCACCGATGAGATTCATTCAAACAGGTTTGTGTTTTCGGAAATTCGCAGTTTTTATTGTTAGTTTTTTTATTAGCTGCTTTCATAATCGGTATTCGCATTACCTTCAAGGTAACATTCTATTTTTGAAGCTGAATAAAACTTTCGTTGTATAAGACTATAAAACTATAAAAACAATAGGAAAAATTCGTTGTATAAAACTTACAGTGGAGTTAAAAAGAGTAGTGAGTTCATGTATGATGATGATAATAGTAGTAATTTCACATCAGATTATCATAAGATCGATAATAGCAAGTGAACACTTGAAGGATATACACCGCTTCGTGATAGCGATGCAGGTTCGCAACGAACCTCGGTGGGTGATGTTCTGAGACGTTTGCTGCAGTCTCGAAGTATGATGAGCAGTGCAACCGGTGAACCGAACATCGATCATTGTGTCATCTCTGCACTGACCATTTTACAGGGACGCATCGATCCAACAGAAATATATTCATCTTTAGCGAGAATCAAAAATAAGCGTGAAATTCGGTTCGTTTCATATTCATTTCGTTCGTCAGATTGATCAATAGCGTTATTGTTGTCTTTCATTCATCGATCTTATTGACTGAAAGTTTTCGTTTAATCCATCAAAAATTCGCTTCGGTTTTACAAATTTGTATCCTTTGATAATGATGTATAAAATTGAGTTTATTTTTCCTTTNCTTTTGCGATTTCTACGTGATACCGCAGTTAATTGTAGTTGTTTTTAATTGTATATATTCTAGCCACATTGATTAAGAACAAATCAAGTGCAGTAAATAAAAGAAATAATTTAAGATTCGCACCATGGGGATCAGGCTCATTGAATATAACGTTATGTAGACGATCGCCATACCTTGTCGAAGCAAACCGTGTCTCCGGTTTGATGTTGTGTAATAATACGAATGTTGCGAGCATTTTTCAAGGGAATCTGTCACAGTGCGAAACCCTAATGGAAAAGAAGGCCTATCTCACTCAATATGTGAAGGTTCTTTTTTGTATTTCCATAGCTCATTCATGATTATTTGATCAGTTTGCTCAACTCTAACTAGTCTATTTGCATTTTACTCTGAACTCGCGTTCAGTAATAAATTCTCTACCCGAGATGTTTGTAATCGTCGTTTAATTAAAGGAAGATCCAGATATATTGCAAACATTACGTGAATCTGCTGAGTGTGTTCGCCAAATGATTCATACGTACCGTCAAGCGACACTACCCGAATTTCCAAATCTACACTGAATTTCAGTTTTACTCCTCAAATTCGATGATGAATATTTCATATTTAAACGAATTCATGTGTCCTTATGTGATGTAATTGATGTGACAAGTTTTTGAAAGAGTTTCGAAATATTCAATCAACACAAATGCCTTAACTCATTCCTGCAGTTCATCATTTGATTTCTTTTGCTTATCTCGTTCAAAGGTACTTTACCGTCTCGATCTCGTTGTTCAGTTGTTATCATTTCTGCAATAGTTTCAAGGTTCTCATTTTTGATTGATATTTTGCTTGTGATTACTTATGTTTTATGAATATGTACCCAATTCCTCAGTCGGAGTTTAGCTGATGAAATTCATCATACTATTGCTTATCACATGCAGTTATGTTCCGTGTTATGCCTCATATTATTTACCCTCTTTGTTGACCCCTATCATTGGTTGGAATTTTTTTCGTCTGCTGTCACACTGAAGTGGATGTCAGAAAAAGAATTTCGGAATCAATATTCGAATTTATGCTGAACTTTTCTCATCATCACGCTTTTTTTTNTTTTTTTTCAGTTTCACTTCTCGCGTTTATAATTATCTGTTACAATACTTGTAAAATAAAGTTTCTGTTCACTTGTCCAGAATGAAACAAGCACTGTAAAACTTTATCGCTTAACATCATCAAATTGTGAGATTTACAGTTAGTAATGTATACAGCCAACTCTCGTCATTTCGCTTTTGCATTGAGTGAGTCGCAATATTGATCTTATATCGCACTTCGCAAGGATTAGATGCAAAGGAACATAGTTTGCGATTTGGTGACTGCAGGTATGAACGACTAATTCAGGAAGAATTCATGATGGAGAAGAACCAGTGTTAGAACATACAGACTCATTCATTTCGGCCAAATGGAATAGGTGTTCGGTATTGCCATTATCGAATTTGATCGCACTAGTCTGAGGTAACGAACAGATCAAGTGACTCATACTAAGCACGTTTTCAGATCTTACGGCCTATTGTTTGGTTTAAATATAACCAATAACAAACGAGATCTGCTCTCATCAAGAAGTCAATATGCTTTTCATCGGAACATGTACTGCTTACCTGAGCTACGATCATATCCTATCGTTATGCACATTGTGAATCGTACGAGTCAAATATAAGACATTTGCACTCTGAAGTCTCGACTTTTACAGTTAGTGTAGTGAGTGTATTTAGTTGATATCGGTAAGCTTAGCAAAATTATTACAGTAGTAATGGAACTTTGTGATTGGTATATGAATGGAGTATTGCTGAAGGGCAGAAAGAAATTGCAGGAATATGATAGAGAGGCGGATATATCATAGGAACGACACTGAAAGTTTCGATCATAATAGAATAAGCTCTTGTGGGCGGTCTTCCGACGTGATTTATCTATGAATTAGCTCAGCTAATACACTTCAAATTAGCTTTTCGTACCATATGGCTGCAAGAAGACGTTCAAATAAACGTAAGGTATATAAAAATGTTTATGTTCGCTTGATTTATTTAATCAAATCTCTTTCTTTAAGTGAATCCCAAAAGTATTCACTTCCTGTGAAAATAATACAAAAAATACAGAAATTGTTTTGTATTGATCAATTTGCACACTTTTCTGATCAATTTTGCGCGATGATTACTGTATCACCGTTGTAGCTAAATGAAATGGAGATGAACAAATAGAATTTTATGTTGTTGAATTAATTTCATTATGAATATTTCTTTAAGAGTGTAATGAAGAAACGATTTTTATTAAGAACGAGAATGCTGAAGAAGTTCTCCAGCAACGTGTCTCAGCGAATCGTCGTGAAAGACAACGCACCAAAGAGTTGAACGATGCGTTCGCGATACTACGAAGGATTGTACCGTCGTTGCCATCCGATAAAATGAGTAAAATTCATACACTTCGGATAGCCACTGATTACATTCGCTTCCTGGATCAAGTGGGTCATTTATTTGAGCATCAGTTCTGGCATACTCTCTGACTTCGTAACCATTAATATTTTAAAACTATTATTAAACTGTATCATTTTGCAATCGTTACAGTCTAATTGTTTCCGTTCACGGCACTCAGATATGTTAATCTGTTCCAGTCTATGTCGCATTCAGCTAGGTCAATTGTAGAATTCAAGCTGAATTCCTCCCTGTCATTCCACATGCGATAATATCAACAACATATAATAAAGTTGCATTGAAGTCTAACGATCATATCGTTAAATGATATGATGCAGCCCTCAGAATGAAATGATTCAAGTTAAAATAAGCCAAACACTTCTTAGTTGAAGGAAGTTTTCATCTTTAGTTGATATTTGAATGAGCACGGTTCGATAAGCAAATGAACGGTAAAATTTGTTTTGACAGCTGAGGAGATAATGAATTTATCAATGAATAGACAAATAACGTGATTATTTGATATAAATTAGATGAATGGAGATGGATTTCGTTTATTCGGCTGCGAGATGTCAATTTGTGAAGGTAATAATTTACAAACAACGTTCAATATGTGGAGAGGCGGTATGGCCTCACAACCACAATATTATCCTGAGCCGTTACAGCAACGAGGCTACATCAAATGTGGTTTGTTTCATTCATTTATCATCAGTATGATTGCTGCTATCATCATCATGAAGTATCATTTTCAAATTATCATTGTTCAGATAAATTCGATTTATTACTATTGCTTTCCATTTATCATTGTTCGCTTCTAACAATTATCACTTCTTATAATAGAATTCTCCCGTTTTCGAAACTTTCAAATTGAAAGATATAAGTACTATGGGGGAATGATTTGATAGAAATTCAGTGTGCACTAGCTGAATACCACTTGAATTCTGCCAGATAAATAGCACTTAGAAACTATTCAAGTCATTTTCTCAAACGTTAACGAAATTTTGAACGTTGAACGTAAGATTGAACGTTAATTTTATCTCCCGCGGAAGATCAAATTCAAACCAATTGTAATTTCGATGATTTATTCCGTGATATAAAATCAAAGAAGAAACTATTAATAATTTGCAATTAGTAATTTCAATCGCTCTTCTATTCTTATTCACTGTGAAGAGATATTTTCACTTTTTATCTTATGAAAAATATTAAAATCGTAAAACTAATTCAAGATATATTATGCGTTTCTTTCTTCTTTATTATGAGATTGTTTGAACTATAGGTATTCTTATGATCCGTCCGCTTCATTGTTATCGTAAAAACACTATATCAGATGTACAAATGAACTAAGCTACGGTACATGAATAAATTATGCATATTCACCATCTATCACAATAACAGTTTATTGTTAAAATGGACAAATGATTGGCACGTGTTATGATCGATGATGTTACAGTACGCTAAAATGCGCTAAAATGAGAGTTAAACATTTTTGTGAGAGTTTTGTCACAAAGTATGCATTATCAGCTGTTGCTCTACGAAGTTCATCCTTAAAAACCGAATAATTTTGAAATCAGTTTGAATTAACGAAAGCGGTTGTCAGCTATACTAATTGTAAGTAATAACTCTATATTCAGTGATCCCATACTATGAATTACTTAGAATTCAAATATTCAATTTCACAATGGATCAGAATTAAGTTGATGATGAATATCTTAACTAATTTTCGATACTGAAGATATGCTAGTTTCAAAAAAATCTCATAGATAATTTTCTGTCATAAACTTCAAAGCGTATGATCATTATGGTTGTCTGTTGCAAACGGTTACGATAGCAGTAAAAAGGGCAATTAGAAGTTTAGGTCATATTATTGTTTGGGAATGAGTTTTATTGGAGTGTAACATCAAAGGGATAAGCTTTTATTGAATGGGATACTGAATATTATCATTGCTCATTGCAATATAACTTCCATTTCGGTTCAGCTGTATTCTTTGATCACTTCCATACCATTCTCGAAATCATTAGCACTCTCACTGTCTTGGTTATAATGATTTTTATTGTCATTATTGTTGTGACAGTAATTATTGTTTTTGTTATTATTATCACTCTATGATTATTATCATTATCACATCGGTATCATCACCAATTACATCACTGAACTTTCAGAAGAAGAAGCGTGGTATAATAATGGTGGAGTTGTGGCTAATGAACGATTGAATACAATTCCTCAGCAATCTGATTCACTGTGACAATCGAATATTGATTATAATGAGTTTATTTTGCGAACTGTTATCGTTTCTATCATCGTCATTAATATCTCCATTGTTATTGATGTTACCATCGCTAATGGTGTTTTAAACTGCATTATTATCATTGTTACTCTGCATAATATCACATTACATTATTATTGTTGATAGCGTTAATCCTTATTATTGTTTATGACCCAATTAAGTCACTGTATAGTATTACTTCTTTTGGAATGAGTCGTCAAGTGATAGATATCTTTTTGATCTTAACAATTCGTCTTCGCATCTCACAACTTATAAATACTATCCTATTTCTAAATTATTCACCTACATACGAAAACTAAACAAAATAAAAAACGTAACAAAGAATAACACATAATAAAACAGAAAGAAAACGCGGTTCAGTTCTCTTTTTTTGATAAATATGCGATTCGTTTATACGAAGTATAAGAATTGTGACATTTCATCCGCAAACAAAGAATAACTTTAAAAGGAATACCGACAGAAAATTCGTTTATTCCTCCACACAAAAACTGAGCGATGACTTGTTGTTATATAACCGAATTATACTTTTGTTTATAAATATGAAACACTTTCAATTTCAAGTTTTCCATTCTGATTTGGCAAGCGATTCATGCAGTTCGATTCTTATCAACTTTTGTGTCATTTTTTTGAGAACCTGATATTTGTTTCCTCATTTCAATTCTGTAACATATCTGGTATTAGTTTTGCACCATCGGTTAAGATAATTCATCACATTTTTCTAAATCGGTCTTTCTTGCTATGTGAACGTGCTTTAGTTCGTTTGAGCTGTGTGTGACTATTGCTTGGAGTATAGTAATTCATTCTATCACATACTCTCTCAGCGTTTTAATGTTCCGAATATTTTTCAATTATGCTTTATGAATTGTGCATAGAATTGAAAAGATGAGAGATATTTTCGTAAGTTTCTGTGATATTTTCTATCGTAATTGATTTCATAGTTAATAGTTATCTCAGATATTCAATACATCAGTTATGTAATCAGCAATTAATCGTTTGGTTGTACTGAATGCGTTCGTTTGTCCTTCACTGTTACATATAATTAAAACGACTCATGTTAATTAATTAAGACAATTTCAACATAAACATGACATAAAAGTGTTATCTTCGTTTATTTTGGTATCGTAAATTGATAAAACTAACAGACTCATATGCTTATTGAAATGTAGAATAATTTAAAAATGCACTAGCTGAATGAGGCATCCTGGGTTGTCTTTCATAATTGAATCGAATCTTGAGATTAGGAATCATTTCAGTTGAGATAAGGACTTCAGGTAAGGAATTCATTTATTTCTCGTGATTATGTGATATTCTCCGAAATGAAAATCAATGCAGGTTTTCAAAATTTCTGATGCCCAGTACTGAATTCCAGTGATTGAAACATTCTCAAAGTGAAACACATTATAAAACAAATGTGTTGTTTTACACTAGGATTACGGTATTGACTGTGAAAAGACAAGTTAGATAATAATTATGAGAGTGGGATAGGCGAAGATGAGAGCAGATATTGGCTAGTTGAGTGGGATAACGATTAGAAGGGTGACCTTTAATGTGGATAGCATATTGCTTACAGATGTGCATCTATTGCTAATAAAAACAACGTAGATGTGAAAGAAGCAAGCATTGAGATAACCATCCAAACAACTTTTCCAGCAAACTCATCAAACATCCAACGGGATTAGTCACTGATTGTTTAATATCACTTGAATGTTGTTTTGAAATATTATTACAATTATCATGTATCAGATACGATACTACGTTTCCTGACATGATTCGTCATAGACATGAATGTATCTGAGTGCTGCTTCATAGAAATTTAAATTTCAAAACATCATCAATTACCGTTTTAACGTTATTACCATTTTTATTACCGTTTTAATAATATCATTTTACCAACTGATATTCAGTATTGCATAAAAGGGAATACATTCCAACCTGTTCATTAAACTGAGCAAAATTTGCTTTCATTAACTCATGAAGATTTGGAAATTATTTGTTACAAATCAGATTTCTGATTGCAAAATTTGAAAATGGTCGCAAAATTCGAAAATATCAACGGAAGTATAAACATTTCACTTTGATAGCGATAATTTCGTCGGATTAATTTTATTGGATCTGAACGGCAAATGTCTTTGTTAATTTATCTTATTGTCGATTTTAACAATGATATCGGTGCATATGAGTAAAATCACTACTTGCGATATTCTTAGGTAATTTGTTCGATCGAAATTGAGAAATTATTCATTGAGTGTCGTTAAATTTGGAACAGTATGTCAGCTTATATTTGCATGGAATTTACTGCGAGTAATACATATTAAATATAATGAGATATCTAAGACACAAGCAAATAGAATGTGTCCTAAAACAATTCAGAAACAGTCAATCGCATTCTTCGGATTATATTGAGAGCTTTCTCAAGAACAATTACTTGAAGCCTGCAAATATGCATCATTATAAATCACCAATTCATAGGCTCGAACAGTTGCTGGGGATATACAGGGACTTTTCACTGATGTGGTTTCAACATTTAAAAATGATGCTGGACGGTAAAGAACCATGTTATCCTCTCTGGATGATCCGAGGTCGATAAAGAATGTCACATTATATCATTGCAACCGAAAGTTGAATGTTAGTTGTTGCTAAGAAATTGAAGTTCACCATCTGTTGACGATTTTTTTATCGAACAGAGCAATGGGAGCGATGAATAACGATGAATAACGCACGAACTATAGAACAACTACACCGCCTTATTGTCAGTGGAGCTATGCAGCTCAAGTCAAGAATGAGCCACATTAGAATTTATTAACATTAATATTGTATTATGACGAAACCATTGACGAATTTTGCTTGGATTGCTTTGCGTCCTTCTCCTTCGTGTTTGAAACAGGCGATTGGGATTCTTCAACAGCTTTATTATTCATGACTGAAATTGCTTTGAATACTAATTGATCATTTCAAAACTTTCATCTGACCATTTCCACATGTTAACTTTTTTCAAGTTTAACCCTCATACTGATTGTGAATGCATGTCAAAAACTACCATTTTCAATGATATCTCTTAAAATAAACCTTGATTTCCTTCAGCAGTTTGCTTCAGATCGATTTCCTGAAAGTATTCCATAGAGTTAACAAATTATGTTTTTGTTGAGCTACAATCAGTTATTATTTAATCAAGCGGGAGAAGTGGTAATACGCAACTATGACAATATTTCTTGCTGAACATTTCTCCACATTTGCATCGTTTTAGAACATCGATCCAATGTCCGTAATCCAAATATCGGAATTTTCACGTGAAGACAGAGGAGAATTGAGTTACTATGAATAAGTTACTATGAATATGCATTGAGTTACTATGAATATGAATAAGTAATGAAAATTGAGTAACTGAATACTTTCCTTTCACACTAGTTAAGCGAAAAAAAGGAAAACCAAAATATGATTTCAAATGTATAGGACATTGCACGATTGGGACCGATAATGAAGATAAAGTGTTGGCTTTCATAGGCCGAAAAGATCACATTTTGTGATGTTGGTTTTGTTGCCGCTGTATTTGTGGAGGTTGAGGTATTCATTGTACCAGTTTTTGATCCATGTCTGAAATTGAAATTTTTTTATTAGTTCATTTCACTATAAATATCGTTTGAGACTTATGACGGATAGCAGCATATTGACGAATAACATAAAATGTTGATTACAACTCGAATAAGTACCTGTGTTCATCTGGTTCATCTTTTGATGCAAATGACATTATCGATGCATCCTGAAATTAAGTGGCGGTATAGGAGATCAGTGGAGTCTTTTCTTTTGTCTGGGTAGATCTGAATGAAAGTTTAAGGCTAATGACGGATCTGACTTTAAGCCTACTCCTATGGATTTGCTAACGTTACAATTACCAATGTTACTTTCTTAAACTTTTAGAGCCTGATTTAGTGATCATTTATATTTTAGCATCATTTGTGTTCCAGTTTAGTCGAATAACTCAAGTAAGAAAGCCTTTAAGTAGAATTTCAGCACTGTTCACGTAATATATTCAACTTAATGAATAATCACACCAAAATTATCCTGAAATATTGTCTGTCGTTTATGAAGAAATGCAATAAGACTAACACTTCGAACAGTGAGACGAGCGGTGCTGTGCGACGTTTTGCGTTTCATAAAATCGAACCAATGCTTACGCTTTTTTGGTTTCTTTTTGATGTGTCTAAATGCGATTAAACGAGAAACTTTCTTTGCATTTTTGTTTTTTGGTATTTGCGGTTCGACATTTATATGTAATATTTCATGCCGAATTAGATCCATGACTGACACTTCAACTTCTTGTTTTTGCTTCTTTTTATGCTCTTCTCTCACTTCACGTCTCGTTTTGAGCTGCCTTCGTTTACCAACTGATATAACACCAGGTCTTTGTTTGCGGTGTTTATGGTGAGCATGTCGATGTTTATGAACGATGCTAAGAGCATCACTCTTGTGTTGGTGGTCATGACTGTGATGCTCGTGATGTTTATGATAATCAGGATGGTTCGATCTGCTACCATCGTCTTTCGCTGATTTCACTTCATTGATCGCTTTAGCATCTTGAAAATTTTATCTTGCAACTGTGCTCGTTCTATATTTGAACTCGTAAATACTATCGTTTGGAATGTAAGGAATCAATCTACTTTTGGAATCAGTCTGAACCAGCAAAACATTCTCAATATCGAAATTGTTTGTGAGTAATTATTGAAACTCCAACTTTCTTTTCAACTCAACTATGTTTTCCAGTCGTCCTTTGTGCACTACGTTTCAAATTCTAACGAATCTTGGATTAGGATCAAAGAGATTATTCGCTTCCCCGATCGAACAACTCTGATTGTATCGCAAAATTTGGAGAGCAAAATTATCAACATTTATAACCTGTATGATGAATTGAAAAAAAAACGATAGTGATTTAAGTGATAACGACGAAATTACTTGCAATTACTTTCATCCGCCTTCCTTCCTGTCTCCCATTCCGGTTGTCATGCTTTCTGTGTTCAACTTTCTGAAAGGATCTCGAATTCAGTCGCATACAACGTTTAATTATCAAAATAGTCAATCAAACAAAATAAGTTTGCTGTGGACAACATTTGTGATTTCCTAGCTAATCGATACATAAATGATTGAATTAGCGATCGTATCAACTTCTGAAACTATCAATCGATTCTCATCAGAGTTAATAGCGAATGCTTGCAAGTCTTTGATCAAATAATTTAATGTAACGATTTCGAGAGTAATATTCGACCGAGAAGAACGATGAGGTCTTCGTAATAAGAGATAAAGAAAATGCACGAAGAATTGTCTGAGAATGAAGTTGAATACCGATGGACGACAGTTGAAGCAATATGTGAACAATGCAATGAAAATTATATACAATCTGATAATTAGCAAAATATTTAACAAATTCTTCTCATCATTTTTATCTGAAAATGTTGCGAACAATTTCGGAAGTTCTTTCAGAGAACATCTTGCATCAATTTTATATAAAGATAGTAACTCAATGAACCGCCTCTCAATTCTGAAACCATAGGATCAAGCAATTCATATAAGGAGCAGATCAAAGTTTACGTTAGAGATCTGAAATAATCGAAAGGATTCGGAAAAATTGTCAAACGGGTTGCCAGCTGCTAAATGGCAAACAGTCGTAAACATTTGATTGCATAAGATGATGTGATTGAAACGGAGTGATTCTAAGCCGTGAAGAAACATTTGAAGATATACCCGATATATAATATATCATAATATTCTATGTAGATGCTGATACTTCCAACCAAAACATTAAATTCTTGATAGATATATACACAATATTCCCAGTATTTCAAAACCGATAAAACAACCGAACCATCGGCGATAAACCGAATTCGGTGATAACTTAACTCAAGAATGACTCTTATGACGATATTTTGTTATTTCAACAAACGATGAGCGATTCATTATTTGAATATTCAATTGCAACTTTCTTTTTCAATCAAGCAACCTTAATATATGCAACAAAATTTCAAACAACGAAGCGCAGAAGAAAAGGCAATATTATTCTCTTTGAACACTATTCATATTAGTGGACGATTTCACTGTACTGCTAAACTGTAAAAATTTTATCCTTATGTTAATCGATAATGCGATCAATACAACAGGAATCTGAGGAGTATCAATTTTGAAGCAAACTACACATTCAAGCCTGCTCAATAATCCCAACATCTTTTATACTGTTAAGATTAGCAGATTCTTAGTAATAATTTGAACTTCTAGGCGCTTTTTTTGTAGCGGAACTGAAATAATGCGAAAAATAAAGTATAAAGTGATGGCAAATATTTCAGAGTTTATTTTTGTCTGACGAGTCATTTGTAGGCATCATGATGGAAGCTTTCAGTGAATATCGCCTCGCTCACTACAATTACTGCTTCTTCCAGATTCATGAAGATATTATTGCAAAGGATCAGTGATGGCTACTGTGATCAACAAAAACGATCGAACGGAAGGACAGTGCATACAAGCAGATGGACGTCGACAAAAAAGCCGCCCAAGTTATTATTTCTATGTGTAGCTAAGAACAGGTGAGTATGAAAAGTTAAGGTTCCCACATGCTTTCGAAATCGAGCGTATTATGCTGCATTCAAAATAGAAATGAATCTGTTGGTCAAGCGAAAAAAATCCTTGAAAATGAATCGGATACGTTCATTTGTTTCGTTGACGAACACATGCTGAAGGCTATTGTGAAGCATGTCAATGAATAGAGGTAGGCAAAGCATGAGAATTGAAGAAATGACAGTGAATGTGTTCCAATCAACTGCGTTAAACTCAAGTGCGTGATAGTTGTACTGTATTAATGTTCTTTTTCATATTATGATGGGTAATGAACGACTCATCTGAAACTGTATAATATGCTCAAGCACTTTGCAATCTTTCACCCCAATTTCACTGAAATCCTCCCAGACAACACCCTCGATATTCGTAAAACACAGCAAGGTCCGGATTTCTTATTACTCAGTCTTGCAGCAACATCATCCGGGTAGTTTACATCACACTCAGGAGAATGCAAAAAAAAACCTGAGGCATTCAAGGTTTTAAACGAATAATTAATCGAATGAGCGAATTGATAAACAATCAAGTGAATAAACGAATACATATGTAAGTTAATGAATTAACGCGATGTTGATCTCTGTATGCACGCATCCAAGTACATGATTCGGTACGAAGATTCGGTTGTCATAGTAACTTTCAGCTCACAATATCAATATGCTCACTATTAGTCTATTGCTCGATATTTTACCAATATCGCTTCCGGCATTAGCAGACTAGCAAATGCTCTTACGTTGCAGTTGTAGTATTTTCATAGTTCATTTGAATGCCCTATTCTGATCAGAACAAACTGATTGTGAGCGTATGATCAAATTTTACATCAATCAATATGCTTATTCTGATATTTCTTCTGTTTATAATCTATATATAATATAAATCCGCATCTTCATTTGAGCCCAACCGTGAATTCTTCGTCGATCTTCAGCAAGAAATTCGTAGCAAAGTTCGATCGATTCTTGAAAAGGATGCGCAGAACATTCACACCTCCCAGGATTATCAAAAAGACTATACCACAATTATGTAGAATTATCCCTTCAATTTCGAGTGGTGCCAATAAGTGTTCAGAAGTGCTTTCATCAACCACCAGTGAGCAACATTTGAATATGAGAATGAGTGACTTATGCTCACAAACATGAGCAGTCAGCTAGCAACCATTAAAACGTCTCCCATTTTCCGTTTGCTAGTACTATCGCCTGGCCACTATTTGCTACAATGAGCCCATAGTCTTTGGGTAAAAAGATATCTCACTCTTAGATACAACATCAAGCGCGCAATATTGATCTGTTTCATATCAGCAAAAGATCACTTAGGCGCCGTCATTTGGTAAGTCGGGAGCGTAAGGACTCGATATTTTATATCAGCCCCTACCTATCTGAGCCAAAAGCGGGAGGCACCATTCCTTTGCTAAAATAACCGATGCCGAAACGTGTCATTCCATCCAAGTAATGAAAGTAATGAATGAACGAGAAGAAAAGGGATTATTCCACATGTAAATGAAGTATCAATACACTCGAACAGATCACCGTCATCATGGGAAGGGGACGTAATTATTTCTATCATATATTGTAATGTTTTCAAACCGAGGATCCACTAGTTTTCAACTTTGCAACAATCTCTCGAAATGAGAAATTTAATTGCACATTGCAATCAAATTTTTACCATAAGATCGCATTTTGAGAGATTTTGCTATTCGTTTAATGGTCGATCGATTGTTCATACTAATTGTAAATAGTCAGCTCATTCTTGGCCAATAAGGTTATTCACCTCTCTGAACGATGTAATAATTTGATTACCTTTGCTGGAAATTTATAGAAATTGATGAATCCCATATTTCTTTTTCAGGACTTCATTAGCAGAAAACGACCGATCATAATTCGCTGATAAAACAATTGTTGTTCTAAAACTTCCCGGATATTCATCACACAATGAGTCTGAAGAAAGAGGCAGCCTCGGATAGCATATGGCAAGACCGTGACATAAGATTCGATCTCGATTCAAAGTGTGTTGCAAGTTTAAATTGAGCAGTCAATGAGACATAGCAATGAAAATGATAATGATGGCAGTTTTAGTGAGTATGATTGGCATTTTAGGAATAAACCTGTAAAATATTAAATATTGGTAATAGTACAAGCGATTTAAACGTTTACTGTGATCATAATTAATCGCTGTTATGATAGGTTATTACGTCTGATCCCTGGTGAGCATCTGGTTGAGCGTATCGACGGCGTTGAGGATACGAAAGGAAATAATGGTGACAAGGGCTCGCTTCGAGTGACGAATATTCGGCTTATTTGGTATGCCACCTCAATGCCACGCATCAATCTCAGCATTGGGTATCTGACCTGCATATTATTTCTTAATCTGTTATTGAAGAGAGCTATATGCTCAAGTTTGCTCATCAGTCCCATGATTCCATCATTTGATAGGGCACATTATCTGCTATCAGAAAGGTGCATATGTTGTCAGCGATCTGAAGTTCCAGCGGATTGCTTATATTTCTGAAGGAATGCTATAGAGCTAAATGATTTCATTATGACACCAAATTGTGAACATTTGATCGACGTGAACATAAATCATTGACAGCCAGTACTTATCTGTCAAAATTCATTAAGAATCTTCTCTTCAGCNAGCTTTGAGCACGTTCACTAATCTATTTGCGATGCTCAATTAGTCAACTTCTTTTACTGCAAATACGTCCCAAAATTCTCCACGTGAATGCTCAGTTCCAGAGGAATTGTCCTCATCAGCATGATTTCACAAATCTCTTTAATGTCATTTTCAATCATCAATGAAGACCTCATCACGCTTCAGATATAATTCAATAAATGGTGTGACGACACGATTAGCGAATTCAAAAATCCGTGGTCAAGCTGAATCACTCTATCTAATGGCCAGAAATGCGAACACTCGTTTCGAATTCATTTTCACTTGTGTGAATCCCACTCAGGTTCAATCTTCATGCACTGACGAGAAATTTGAACTGATTAACAGCAAAGTAGTGATCAGCGCGTTAATGCCACCACTGTAAATTTTCAGAAGTTTTTCGGAAGTCGGTACTATCGAACTCATAAAAACATCTTGTAACTTCCAGACCAAGTTGTTCACCACGGTAATTGCAATCCACCGTGCATATGAAACGTCGAAAATGTATCGTGAACTAAAAATGCGAGGCGCGGTCATTGATGATCAACAGCAACTGAGAATATTGCCATTGGAACAACATTGTGATCGCATTGAAGGCGTTTGGAATTTAAGTTCTGATCAGGTTTGAGCTTTCGACGATTTTAGTATGGGATTTCAGAGGTTTTTAATTAAAGTACACCTTGATTTTGAATCATTTTCATTGAGATGTTCGTTTTGAGTCGTACTTTCGCTGCACTNGAATCGAGTCATACAATTTGATGATAAAATTGAACACCAACAGTTGAACAACAACAAAAAGTTGCATCAAAATTTGAACGTTTCACTGAAATTGTTCTGAGATCTTTCATTCGGAAATCAATTGCATCGACATTATATCATGATTTCGCCTTTGTAGCTCGGTATCATTTCGGTAGAATTGCAGCGGGATATCACTGTGGTAATATTTCAGGGTAATTTAGGTGTGTTGATACTAACAAATGTTCGGATTGTATGGTTTGCCTCTATGAATTCGATGTACAACGTGAGTATACCCTATCTGCAGCTGTATTGCTGTCGAATAAGGGATTCAAAATTCGGTCTTGCACTCGTTATTGAGACCTCAGCCATTGTACGTAGTTCGTTCTCATTCCATTCCTTATTTAATTGGTCATCACAGACTATAAGTTTATAACTTGTGTAGTTCTTTTACTCACTTCCCTTCCAGGCCAAATTATTGCCTTTTCGGCCAGTTCGTCCCCATCTGAGCCAAAATTCATAACAGTTTAGGCCAAATTGGGTTAATATCCATCCTCTGTTACAATGACAAATGGCAAGATCTGTTAAAATTGTAATCTTCAATATTCATTCATTTATCATTTGAGAGTGGTGAATATGTTTTGGGGTTCCGAGTGGATCCTGAAGAAAGACTTCAGAACGTGTGCAAAACTATTCAAGTTCTCCATAAAGCATTCTTGGTCAAGCCAATATTCGGGGTGCAGCACAGTCGTGAACGACCCGTAAGTGCGCTCGTTGAGATGCGATCATATCTTCATATTTTTCATCTTCCAATCTGTCACAGTTTTATCACCACTTCCATTTGTTTGACTGCTGAATTAATGCCTAAATCAATTTTCGAATTAAGGGTACTCCTCAAGCAGTCGGTCAGACCGTCGAACGTGTCGAAGAGGATATTGAACTAGACGAACGACCCCTAAGGGCTGATGCTTTTGCAGTGAGTTTCCGAATTTTCTGAAACTTTGAAACCTTTTTTGACTACTTTAAACTGCAATCAGTTTGGTGGGTTTTTGTTCAAAACGATGTCTACAGCACAAAACACAAAACACATTTACTGCGTAGTTTTTAAATGAAGTTTCCAGGCAATTTACCCCATCCAAAATAGATAATCCCCTCCCACACTCACGAAAACCCAATTCAAATCTGCAATGCCAAATTCATACCAGTGATTTTGATCGTTCTAAACTAGCTTTGATCATCCGTTTGTCTGAATCGCCATGAAGATATTAGGTGCTGCTGTCGTGTTGTAATAAATGACTGATCTAAGATTCAAAATATGAGAATCAGATGTTTCTAGACTGATTGAAAGATTCTGATTTGTTTGCAGGCATATTTTTCTGACGGTATCACGTCGGAAGAAGTTCGTCCACCTGTATATTCCGAAGAACTTGGTGTGGCCATCGAGCAATTAAAACCTGGTTTCACTATTGCTGATCTATGGAATATACATGTTGACTGAAGACAAAAATTCATCTGATTCTTATCATTATTATATTGCTATTACTATCACCATGTCGCTATTATTATGCTGCTTTTATTATTATTATCACCATTATTAATCGTATTGTATTATTTTCACCGTGTGTATTATTTTTCATTACACTGTGTAATTTGAAATATTATTTGTGCTTCAAGTTCTTATAGTCGATTAAAATTTCAACTATTCATTCACAAGATGCTAGTGCATTTTTCATATTGCTGCATATTTTCTACTGATTATACTAGGCAAATGACCTTCTTTATACATTGCCAATAGGTTGTAACTGCTTTCTATTCGCGCATGGTGTTAAAATTCACCAATAACAACCACCGCCTGCTTTTAATGAATCTCGGAAGAAATAATCCAAAACATCCTACTCAGCTACCAAACATCGCCGTTATTCCAATTGAAGAAGTTGGGAATCTCACGATTAGCATTTGGTTCATCAGTCTAATTATGCTACTTTTCCTTAAGTGAAAAAGTGCCGACAAATTGGAATTGTGGTTGAAAGTGAGTTGAAGCTGAAGCGTCGACAGTTCAAGGTGCCCGAAACGACCCAAGGGTGAGGTGACCACTAACTCCATCCCGACTCCAGCCCTGAGAGTGGGAAGTACAGAAAGAATTGCAAATAGTGGCAATGTGCTCAATTCTCCCAGTCAACTAACATTTTTGGCAGTCTTCGTACTTATCTACGAGCCTATAAAAGTCGTACGAGGTTATAAGCTCACAAGGATGTGCGTGATCGACAAATGCATTCAGGACATGTCTAACTCCGACATTGTACTCAATGATGAAACACGCATTATCAGAGACTTTCGCAGTGGAATTGTCGGAGTGGCACATTGCCGTAGAGCAAATTGTCGTAGACCTGAGGATGTAACGTCACTTTTATTAGCGAATTAACAATAAGTGGAATTGAAATCTAACCTATCTTCAAGCAAGGAGGATTTATTTAAAATATATCGTTGTTGATAATTTTCATATGTAACTTTTCGAGTTCGAGATGCAGTACTTTAGGTTCGCCTTTAATAATAGGAATCAACACGCACTTTCGAAGCGTTGCAATTTGACTATTTGGTTGTTTTTGATTGATTTAACACGGTAAAAGCACTGGAATTGATTGTAAATCAATTATTTAATAGTTTGTAATTTGAATGAAAATCAACTAGATTTTTGATAATTAAACTGCTCACTCTTAAAATGCGAGATTCTCAACTACAGAGAGGTTTTTGCAGTTTACAATGTTACTTTTTAATTACTCGTGAAAGGAAACCGCAGCATTCAACATTATATTCCCCGTCAGCATTTTATTTTGAAAATCTTAAAAGATTTTAACTTATTGGAAATTTGAGCGCAAATGACTGTCAAAATGACTGATGTTCAATTCCAAGAGGATGTCGTTAGTAAATTTGTCAAGAATGCCATGTCTGAGCAAATCCCGGTACCAGAATTTAAAAGTCGTGATCCGGTGCAAAGATCAATTACGATTCGTTCATGTTAAGAATACCCATTCAACGAAATAGAAGTTCTAACATGTCAACTTTAGAGATATGTTCATGAATGAATTTTTGGGTTACGAAGATATGCTCACGACGCACCTAGCAGTCTAATGCCTGATGAATGCTCATTGGTTCGAATTCTAGCATCTCAGACTGCTTAATTCTCCGCAAATGTTGATAACTAATTCCTAATCATGACAATGAATCATTTCTAAATTGAATTTTTCGATAACCTTCAGTATTGAACCGATCGGAAGAAGCAAATTCCAAAGATGGGAAAGAAAGCTAAAGTTGGAAAACAGAGGAAGGATAAATTCTATCATCTCGCCAAGGAAGCTGGTAAGTTTTTCAACATCATAGCTCAACTTTCAGTCATGATATTTTATTCTATTGTTTTGGTTCGTTCAAAAAAGCAAGTAANTCTGAAGAAAAAAATGCTGATTGAATGCACGGTAATAATTAGACTAAAATCAGTTCAACAATTGACGGATGAATTGTTTTGGATATATGTTTTCGATATTGTTCCTTTATCATCAAGCACAGTTTCTACGTGCACGTTTTGATTTTTTTAGTTATATCGCGACGAATGAATGAAATGTTTTGATTAACTCAGATGAAACAATTGATGAAATACAATGAATAACGTAGGTGAAACCACTGATGAACATTACATGATATAGACTCTAAGTTGAGATTGTTGGTTGTGGTCTGTTAACTGAGAATTTGCGATGAATTCATTAAATTTCTTTAAAGGTTATCGTTCTCGTGCGGCATTCAAATTGATACAGTTGAACAAACGGTTTGAATTTCTGCAAACGTCAAGAGCTCTGGTTGACTTATGTGCTGCACCCGGTGGATGGCTTCAAGTTGCCGCACAAAATATGCCCCTTTCGTCAATACGCATTGGTTCGCTTCAGTTTCATCTAAATTTGATTACATTCAGTCATTTCTTGTGTTTATTAATCCATACTTTGCGCAGTCCGAATAAGCTCAGAAGTAAGGAGAATGTTGAATGAAACTATAAATCATGTTCAGGCATCGATCTTGCACCTATCAAAGCGATTAATAATTGTATCACGCTTCAAGGTGATATTACCACCGAAAAATCACGACAGATGATCAAAAAAGAACTACAAACTTGGGAGGTTTGAACTGTAGTTCATTGTTTATTACTTCTGCATTTCAGTCATCAGAGAAGTTTTTGCTTATGGCCCCAAAGGAAATGAGCTAGTGGGGTGGACCGGAGTACATAATTTAAACCCACTTTCAACGTGCGATGGATTTTATCTTTGGTGTTACAACAAGAAGTAATTAAAGTAAATTATATTTTCAACTTGAGCGTTTGTGTCCAACCTGATGTAATCTTCATTTGTATTCATTAGACTGGAACGAATTTCAGATGAATTATGTATGTTTAAGAATGTTCATATATTCAGGCAGATTGCGTTTTGCACGATGGTGCGCCAAATGTAGGTTTGAATTGGTTACACGATGCATTCCAGCAGAATTGTTTAACACTGTCAGCACTGAAGTTAGCAACACAAATTTTATCGAAAAATGGATATTTTGTAACAAAAGTGTTCCGTTCGAACGATTATCATTCACTTATTGAAGTGTTTGAGAAACTATTCAAAAAGGTTCGTTACATATGCATTCTCATTTCAATGTTTCATAGTCAATCGCTTCCTGTATTCATCACATTGTTCGTCTTTTTCATTGTTGCGATATTGAAATTCATGTGGCAAGATTTGAATCGCTGACTGTGTACAATAATCATTTGCTGATACGATTAAAATATCCATGACATGCGTTTATTTATCGATCAATTAATTCATTCAGGTCCACGTATGGAAACCATCTGCGTCACGTTTGGAATCAGCAGAAATATTCGTTGTTTGTGAGAAATATCTGAAACCAAATAAAGTGAATGGCGATTTACTCGATCCAAAAAAAGTTTTCGCGGAGTCAAAAAATGAAGCAAAACCGTCAAATCCGTTAGTTATTATTCGTATCTGTTTAATGTTTGTATGAATTAATAATTAGGATTATTTAGCGCGACAGAAGATTGTTGTTATTATTAGGATTATTATTATTGTTGTTGTTCGATTTGGTTGTTTGGGTGTCGTTGTCATTATCAATTATTTTATTATTATTGTTATTATTAATGATATTTTCAGGCAACTGATGTTGCAAACTCGGAAGAAAGAAAGGAAAGCAAAAGCTGAGGGATATGAAAATGCTGAACTGACTCTTTTTAATGCATTACCTCTATCAGAATTCATTCATTCAAGAGATTATCTCGAGTTATTGAGTAAAGCGAATAAGGTTATCGTTGTTATATCTCACTTTATTTTCGTTTCATTGAACATTATTGTTGTTGTTTTATTGTTGATAATATTGTCGTCACCAGCAGTACCGTTATTGTTTTCTGGTCATGTTTATAACTTTCAAAATGGAAGATCTTAGGATGGCTTGATACAGTAGCCTTTTTATAACAATAATGAAAAACACTTACAGATAACAATAGACGATGAAAAGTGGGATAAGAATGTTGCAACGACAGATGAGATTAGACACTGTATAAGCGATATTAAAGTTTGTGGTCCAAGGGAATTGCGTGCGATATTGGTTTGGAGGAGGAAACTGTTGAAGAGTATTGATGAAGGGAAGGTTGCTGGTGATGAAGATGGGGAGCGTATGGAAACTGATTCGAAGGAGGTGGATGTGGATAGTTTAGAGGATGATGAATTGAAGAAAATCGATGAGGAGATCGCGCAGGCGAAAGCTGAAGATAAGACAGCGCTGAAGAAAAAGAAGAAAAAAATGCTAAAAGAAAAAGCAAAATTGCAACAACGAAAACAATTGAATATGATACACGAAGGTGACGAGCAAATTGCAATAGAACAAGATTTATTCTCGTTGAAAAATATCGCGAAAATGAAACAGTTGAATCGTGTAATGCAGCNTGTCGTTATCGACACTTGTATTATTATTGTTATTTTCGTTGTTTTTTTTTTGAAGAGATCATCGTTTATCCATTATTCAGACAATGGTTTATAAAATGTAGGATGTTAGTGACTCTAGGAACCAACTGGTTAAACCCTACCTGGATTGTATTCGTCGATGATCTCAAGTTTTTTCATTCTGATATTAAATTTGAAAAAAAAATTCGAATTTTTAGCCCATTAGAATTAATTTTCAATTTTAACATTGTTTTGAAGTGGTGATGAAGAAAGTGGACTGCTGCTAACGGAAGAGTCTGGAATGGGAAAAGATGAAAAGTTGAAATCACGCGCAGAGAAGTGGTTTGCAAGGGTATGTTTCATTTCTGAATTATTTTGCAAGGGATGTGTTATTCTGTCATTTTTACATGGAGAATAGAGATTTTTTGGGAAGAAAAAAGTAGAGTTCGCTGCGAAAGTGAAATCGAAGTATTGTTACTTAGGTTAAAGTAATAGAGGAACGCGAATGTGCCCTAATATGAAGATAGTTCGGGATTTAGTTATACATTTGGCCGATGTGGGTTGATGTCAGTTAATTGAGATTCATTACTGTCTAAAGAATGTGAATACTTAGGCTGTATTTATTCTAATGGCACTGATCGTGAATATCTTGTGAAAATTTGAACAAATAATTTATTTCATTTCTTAATCACTTCATCCATGTATGATGTGGTGGTAATGATAATGAACAAATGTTTTATTTGAGGATGGTTTGGCCGAATTAATTGAAAACGATGAAGATGCGTTGAATACAATTGAGCAACACTTAAATAAAAATAAAACTAATGAATTAAAACTTCATGAAAATACAGGTTAATATTACATTCTTTGAATGCTGATTATTGAGATGCGCTGAGATTTGTTCTTGCTGCTAATTTAGCACGTTTTTAGTGAGTTTCGATACTAAAGCAAATGTCAATCACGGGAGTGACGCAGATATGACGGAACAGACTTCTAAATTCGTTGACGAGGAAAGCAGCAGTGAAGAAGAGTTCGTAGATGCTGATAAACGTGCTGCAAAAAGGAAAGTACCGGAAGATAAAAAGAATAATGGTAGTCATTCGTTTCGATTTGTTTGCATCATTCAGATTTCAAAAAGTTTGTTCACAACGATGAAACATTTCACTTAATCAACTTCACATTTGAGCATTTACAGATGCTAAAAAGCGCCGATTGACTCCCGAGGCATTGGCGCTTGGTGAACAGTTGATTTATTCATCGAAAACCCGACGTGAACTCGAGGACTGGGGATGGAATAGGTTTTTTTTGAATTTTTAAAAAATGTATTGGTTTATAATACTATAATTATT